GGACGTGGGAAATAAAGATTGAAGGATGAAACGATGGGAAGAGGATGTGTAGGGTAGTAAAGGATTTAAAGGGTAGGCAGAGCAATTTTTAGGATAGAGGCAAGGAAATATAGCAGAGTCGAGTTTAAGGGTGAACGAAGAGGAGAAAGAGAAGACGAGTAAAAGGACATGACTGAACGTAAAAAATGGAAGACGAGGCGCTAGAATATAAGGACGTGGGAAATAAAGATTGAGGGATGAAACGATGGACAGAGGATGTGTAGGGTAGTAAAGGATTTAAAGGGTAGGTAGAGCAATTTTTAGGATAGAGAAAGAGTCGGGTTTAAGGGTAAAGAAAGCTCGTGGGAGGGAGAGAGGTGGATAAAGGGGATGCGAGGAACGGATGCGAGCGTGTCTGGGCTCTCGAGCGTTTCCTCTGCCGTTCCAGGAATCGGATAGGCTGCGAGGCTGCTCTTTCGCGAGCAGTTTCGCTCTGATGGAGGGTGACGTGGCGACGGTACGTGGGCTCCTCTCGACGACGCCAGCTCGCATGAGCATACCGGCAATTTACGACGATCCCGAAAGCGTCGACGGAAGCGTCTCGAAGCTGTAATATCGCGATTCTTAACGACAGTCGCGGGCGGGGACACGTCGCAGCCGGATACGCAGTACTCGGGCGCGTTCGAGCGTACACGTCGACGCTGGTTTCTCGATATGGACGATGGGAATTCGCTTCGGTTTTTTGCGTCCCTTGTTTATTTATGGTCTCTGTTATTCAAATACTATGGGAATATTGAATTCGGATAGAAGTTTCCCATTTCGCAACGCTGAAATGAAACTTTTGATCCTTTCTTTCCGACTAGAATTTCGATATTCGACGTCTGTATACTCTGTTCCTTCCAAATTGCTCGACTACGAGTATTCTACTTAACTCGAACTGGTAATCTAACACCTAAGGAACGATTCTAATTCATGAAATGAGACGAAATGAATCATAGCAAGGAGATAATTCATATTTCCACGCATATGGAACACGTTTCAAAGAAGAATATCACTGTCGATCGTCGGTTCCTTACAAAGTTTCCTACTCAGAGAGTCCTCCTTCAAAAATCCAGTGCGCAACGTGCCTCTGCAAATTCCAGGGCACTTTCAGCGACAATCGATCGGACAATCGGCACTTGGCGAGGTGTTAAACGGCTGGCAGCGGCCAACGGAAGGGCAAAACAATTCGCGGGCCGGCTGGTTTCAGTTAATAACCTCGTTCGCCGAGCCCACTCTGTCGACACCCGTAATGACATTCGACGCTGAACCGGTCGCCTAATTACTCGTTGTCCGATCCGCGAGCGAGTACTCGCGGCGGACAATGGCGGCCGGCCGCCGCGATCCAGCCCCGCATCGATCCCCGTATCGTTTCGGCCGCGCGGCGGCTTTCCAATCAATTCGACCAGTGATTACTCAACGCGATCGGAGCCCGTTCGCTTTTAAATTCGTTCCGGCCGTCGTTTAATTATCCTTGGCACGCGTTATCGACGGCCACCGCCGCATAATTAGATATCAAGCGGCGGGGAACTTCGTTGCCATCGAATACTTTCCGCCGCGCTGGAAATAAACGCGGTGCCTGTCGCGCGGACGGAACAATCGTGGATAATTGAGTGACCGCGATGACTCTAGGCAACTTGCATTACCCGGAGCAGACTCTTGTGCGTTCTTTTTAAGAAGTTGATACATGACGCTCAAAAATTGGAACGGTTTCGAAATGTGTCACTCTATACAGAACGATCAACAAACGAAATCGGTGTACGTATCAATAAAGTAGATAAGAACAAAATTCGAGACATTGCCAAATCTCCGAATTCATTTCCAGCGCAAGTTAGATTGACTAGCGTCATTATGTACAGACGTCGAGGAACCTCGGTTTATTGCGGTCTAGGCGCTAAGAAGCTTAAATTGAGTCTCCTGGCAATTTTGTCCAATTTCTACCAGCTCACATGTCCACTCCTTCCCACGAATGAAACTACTAAAGGAAACTCCATATGCGAGCAACTCGAAAGAAACTAGACCCCAGTAGTTCGAAACAGTCGTAGGTATAGAAAATAATACAACTCCAAGCTGCGTTCGATAAGCAACCGCCAGATAACGAGCTCGCGAGCAATCATGCGGCAGGATGAAAACAACGTCTATCGATCTCGTATCGCGTACGCTCGAGGTATTCCTGGCCGCGGTAAGGAGCAGCGACGGCTGGTTAACATAATTCGCGGGCGAACGACGTCTCGAGGCCGTTTCGTAAAATAATTTCGCGGGGCGATCAATCTTCCGCGGCGCGGCTTATCGCGGAACGGCACGGAAGCGGCAGCCTCTCGCGTAATTCAAGCGTGTCTCGCGCGGGAACGCGTTCGAGGGGCTCGCGACGCGAAAAAACGTTCCCTCCGGAACGTGTTTTTCCTGCCCCGAGGGGGAAACGGTCGAGCATCGAAAAGTTCGAAAGGTTCTCCTCGTTTCCCTCGTCCCGTCCCGCGAGGAACACCGGCGAGAAGCGTCGCGCGCCGCGCGGCGAGAGGCTGTAATTAACGATCCTCGATCGTTCCGGATAATTAAGCCCGCGACTCGGCGACAATTAGTCGCCTCCGCCCGCGCGCCAATTACCCGTTTCGCGGCGCGAACAACGACTGCCGGCGAACGGCTCCTTATTCTCGCCGGCGAGAAAGAAACGCGGCGTGATTTGTTGCGCGCAAACAGCTGGATCGCCTCCGAGCTGTGTTAACCCTTTGCTGGCCGAAGTGTTCTTGGTTTCTCAGTTTGAGGTTCGCGTCGACGTTGGTTCGTTCAATTGCAGCTTAACGTGACGCTCTGTTTATTTGTTCAAGAATATGTGGGAGTCAATGTTACCTTTAAATACAATTGTGATACTACAAATAAATATAGAAAAAATTGTTAAATAGGGAGAGGGTGTAATAAAATAGAAGAGTCCGACTCGACATAGGACTAAGGGTTAAAATTACCTAGAACTCCTGGTTCACTGAAATTAGACGCTACCCAGTATTTCAAGCTCACCAAAATCTTTTCTCCACAAAGACTAAATTACTCCGAAAACCAAAACTACACCAGAATCGATAATTAATTGCAACCGTAGGTTCACCTAGATTGAGTTTCATAGGACTGCTAAGGGTTGAAATTACCTAGAACTCCTGGTTCACTAAAATTAGACGCTACCTAGTATTCCAAG